CGAGATATTTACCAAGAAAAGCCGCATGAGCTCGATCCATGATGAGTTTTTTTTCCGTAATTAAAATCAACTAATGTATAATTTAATGTTGGAAAATAATCTTCTCCTTCTTTCTTCTTTCTTCTTTCTTCTCTTTGTGTGTGCGGGGGCCCACGGAAACACGTCCCAACAAGTAGATCCTGCCAATCATTTGGGTACTTACCGCTTGACATCAGACATGTACCTCCACCAAATTTCATGGACGGTTGCTATTCCATTCATCTCGTAGTGTATGTAACTTTCGCAAAGCTTTTGGTGGATCCCCCCCGACGGCTCTATCATTCCCAGCCTCCTGCCAGGAACATTATAGGGGCGCACCATATTTGTTCAGTCACAATCCCTTTCGCTTTGATAGATCCTGGGCCATCCATTGTCGTCTTCAACCTTTCAATTCGACCCACCACCTCTCTCTCTCTCTCTCTATCTACATGTCGGGTCGTGAATCTCTAGTGAGAAGCTCGCCAATTTAACATAAGGAAAGAGGAAAGTTTCCTTCAATGGGAGATATCGGAAAAATACGAACCGGACAAAAGATGGCGCGGATGGTTAGATTGTATTTCCGAGTAAACGCCAACATTTTTTTCTTATGGCAATTTGCTTCGACAATATGATGTTTCTAGAGACCATTCACCATGTAGAGATCCCGAGGAATTTCCGTTCGTTTTGTTTCACTTAGCTACGACTTGCGAGATAACACTTATTGAGCTCAAGATAGTTCCACCAGATATTTTCATTTGAAGCCGACATGAACGGATGTGACGCATCGAACGAGACAGAGGTCGAGGAGAGGATCACCTCAGGACCCACTTTGGTTTGGAACCGAGCCATGAACGATCGAGCTTTGCGAAAGGGACGGACCGATTTGCTATCCAGCCAATTCCTGAGTATTTCGACCAAGTAGCGATGACATGATTGGGGCCAAATTTGGCAATATCAATCCAAGGCCAAGAAGATGAACGATTCCGATGAGTGATTGCTTGACTCTAGTGCTACAGTTGGACACTGGGGCACTTCGATATGCGACCCAATTGATTATAAAATGTTTCGTTGGGCTCTCTTGACCGCACATGTGTCCGAAAACAAATGGGCAGCAGTTAAGAGGATGAAAATCAAGATTTCTCTTCGTTTGGCCCCATAAACGAGCGATACATATGCTTCCGGATTGGCGCGACTGATAGGGGGGAACGGGAGGTCATCGGGTCTAATCACATCGATGAATCATGAAAATCCTGCATATGCAAAAGTCTGAATTCAACTGGTTTGTCGGATTCATAAGATACTTTATGGACCTTCGGGCAACTAAAGAGAAATTTGCCCAAAAAATCTTGAATCTATTAATTATATAGCAGTCAATTCATTCATAAATCTTTTAATTATATCAATTTAATTATACAAATATTCAACGAGCTCGTGGCAAATTCGATCTAGATAAATACTTTAGCTTATAAACATTCAGCGATCAAATGAGGAATAGAACATCAAAATTTGGTTAGAGGCTGAAGGATAGAGCTCGAATCACATGATCGAGCCAAATCAACTTGACCCGAGAAAAGAATAGGAGAGGACAAGAATCCCCAAGGGGCAACGTCAAGAGCATCATAATAGAAAGCAAGACGCAATAAATTATCCCGAACGAACCGATTTGAGAAGCGGATGCATTCCAGCCATCGAAATGAATGTAAAGATCTGGGAAATAAAGGAGAAATGGACACGAACTCGCTGACGAAATTTCACGTGGTGCATGCAGCTGAATTGTAAAGAGATCAAAGACACAGGCATGGAAAAAGGAAGGCTCGCACGTGCTTGAGTTAGTAGAGACAGTGACAAATATAGGATAGATACATCATATCCCATCACAAGCAGATTGATTAGGAAAAGAAATTTCACGTGTCGTGGGGCGGCGCGGAGCGGCACGGCCGGGTCTTAGACACCGGCGAATTTTCTCGCGAGCTAAGGGTTCAAGACCGAGCAGTTGAATTACTGCTACCGAATTTTACACAATCCCGACATGCTTCATTGGAAACGCAAGGATATGTCAGGTTATCTACGGGTGTTCCTTGTCATTGCTGAAAAAGAGGCATGGGTGCAAAAGCAGATGTCCCCCGTTACATCATGAATGCTTGACATTTGAACTCAAAGCTCGCTACATGCAGAAGGAATGAGATCCTAAGCGGATCTATCAGTCTTTAACTTTTCGAGTTCAACCAAGCTGAGTTGTGAGGGCTGCATTTCCATAACCAGACTAGAATCCAACTGTTTACACCAAAAAGTGAAAAAAAAATCATGGAAATAGGCATCGGGAGCTTTGGCGAAGATAATAATCACCGTTAGGAAGTTACTTTTTATTTAAAATTTAAAAGTTGTAATCGCTTGTACGAGATTATAAATATCCCAAGTTTGTATTTTGAAAAGACCCCCCTCAAAAAAAAAAAAATCAACAACAGAACTCACGTTTTTTATATGTTTATCTTTTCTTTTTCGTACCTTTACATTTGGCCAAGGCCATTATTTTCCTGCAATTTACAAGTTTTAATTCTTTAGGAGTAGTTCTAATGCTCATATTCACGTCGCCAAGTCGTCCTCCGATATGAATCTTCATCCTTGGTGCTTCGTCGTCGAGTCAAATCCCGGCAGTAGTACCGCCGCTCTTTCAAGCTTCGTCCTCGAGTCAAATTCTGTAGTTTGTTTGATAGATCTTCCTAAACTTTTCCGTCGAGTCAAACTCCGGTTTGGTTTAGGTTTGTACAATTCCACGTTCATTTTTATGATCGCTTGGATATTTCCTGTCAAATCACCACAGAACCCGTCCTTCAATTAAAAGCTGAAGATCCATTTTCGGTGTTTGTTTTCTTACGGATTAAATTACGGAGAAACACCAACCTAAGCCGAGCTTTGTTGGAGGATACCCTTTGTTTGGTACTGGCTAAGGAAGTAGAATTGTTCTGCTTCACCTCCGTGTAAGAACAAAGGAAACGGTCTCTGTCAGCCTTTCCAGCTTTCCGAGATGAGTGAAACAACCGAATAGATCTTTTGCCACCCCAACAGGCGGCCCCCCAGCTATCCCTTCCCGTCTTCATTGAGCAGCAAACTCAAGGATGGCCTTTATGTATGAGCCGAAGAGGGAGTATCCATAGATACCAACCAAACTAGCTAGTTAAGAAAGGTGGGTAAGGCCCCATTTGGTTTAGCTTTCTCAAGGGGATTTAAGCTCTTAAAGTCTCTTGAAAAAAATATGAGGTATTTGGCAAGCATTTTGGGACTCCATTGGGCAAATGCTAGCATTAGAAAATGCTATTGTATAGGTTTAATATTTTTTTTCTTTTCAATATTGTCCTCACTGATAATTATGTGTTCCACTTTTGCCCTCAAAAAATACTGTTCATCTTCTTCCTCAAGCTCGCTAGTTCATTTGAGGGTCGCGCGTGCCGTCGAGCTCGCTAGTTCATTTGAGGGTCGACGGCAGTTCATCTTCTTCCTCAAGCTCGCTAGTTCATTTGAGGGTCGCGCGTGCCGTCGAGCTCGCTAGTTCATTTGAGGGTCGCGCGTGCCGTCGAGCCACTGTCTTCACTGGAGCCGTTGTATTCACCGGAGCTGCTGTGGGTAAGGTCAAGATCGAGGGTCAAGCGACCTAGATCTAGCCGACGCGAGGGCGACCCAGATCTAGCCGACCATGGTCGTGTGATCTCGCATCGTGCATCCTCGGCGTCACGCATCTTCGGCGACCACCGCCTGGGTTGCGAACAGTCAAAGAGCCCAGATGATCCTCGAGATGGTCGTTGGTGAAGCTCCGACGTCGTTGCAAATCCCAAATCAGAAAACCCTAAAATCGACCTTGCAAATCGCCGATGAAGCCTCTTCACCTTGCAAATCGCCGATGAAGCCTCTTCAAGGTGAAATCGCCGATGAAGCCTCTTCACCTTGCCGAGGTCGCATGCGACCCCAGGGTTGCCTCGTGGGTTGCCTCGTCTGGGTTCGTTGGCCGCCTCTGGTCACCATCAATGCTCGCCTGTGGTTGACGCCGGTGAAGCTCGCTCAATCCCTGCCAATGCTCGCCCAAATCTATTTTTTTTTTTCTTTTTTCTTTTCACTTCAAAGTTGCTTTACAAAATACACACCAAAATGAGTTATCACAAATGCCCCTTCATTCAAAGATACTTGGAAAAATGCAAAACCATTTCCCCAAAATTGAACCAAGCAGGACCTAAGAGGCGGACCTAGGGAGGCTTTACTTGTTAAACTTATTATTTATCATTGAGATACTCCCAACCTCCACCAGCAAGCAGCACCAGAGTGAAACTTAACCTTTCAATCTGTTTATAGGGGGTCAGGACTGGTCAAGAGGCAAAACGTAGCTAATGCTGTTTGATCACAGTCACGAAATTTGTTTGCAGCTACTATAGCTAATCAATTTCCTGCTTTCACGGAGGGAAGTTACCCCCTTAGACATATGAATGTTGATTGTTAACCACAGATGTTTCAAAATCAAACAAAGGAACAAGTTCTTCCCTAAGACTCACGAATGTTGGGCCTTCCGCACAACCTGTCCAGGATAATAAAGATGACATTGCTATAATGAAAGAAAACAGGAACATGAGTTTGACCTGTAAGTAAGATTTCACCAAACCTATGTCCAAGAAAACTTGGATTCAAATTTATAGCACCCTCGATCCCATCCATACTCACACCTTGGAAAGAAATGAAGAGAAAAAAGTCCTTTACGAAGTTAAATACAAAAAAATCCACGACCATCTTTGAATTAGGAGCCTGCTGCAGTGCAGATATTGGCAAACGAATCACAGAGATCTCAGAACTGCACCCATTTTAATAAGTGCTCCGAACAATTTTTTCACGACTTGGTTTTCTAGCAGACAAAATCTCTTTTGATGGTCATTCAAGACCCCGAATGGCCAATTCAATTCCAAATCATTCAGAGGATTCCGAAAGCACAGCACATCAACAAGGAAAATCCAAACGATGCATGTTAAATCACAGTAACAACAATCACGATCTAAAAAGTCTTACACGTCGATAAAAAGAACAGCAGAGTACAGCACCAACTGGAAGTGAGACAAAATTACGAAACATCTATGTGTTTGTAGCCCTTGTGTAGATCTGTTGGCTGGAGTGAGCAGAAACCATCCTGATCAGACCTCTCGCCATCAGTTCTCTTATAGCCTTCCTTGCTAGAGAACCATTGACCTGGTGAGGCAAATCCAATAGCAGTTAGTAAGCATTCATTTTACGGCTTAACGAGAAAAGAATGTCAAATTTCTCATTATAGAACACATTATATTATATTTTCAAAGATCAGAACTAGCCACCATTAGATTAAATTAGACCTATAAGCTAAATTCTGGTCGGATTAGAGATACAAAAGCCACTTTCATGATCACTCGACAGGGTGCATTTATAAATTTCTCAAGCCAGTGAAAATGCCACAAGTCAAAGAAAAGTTCGACCCAAAGAAACAATTATATGATGAACCGATGAAAAGGCATACAAAGAGTCAGCTGCTCTTGATGGAAAATATATGAATTGTTGACCAAACAATCACCATAGTTCCAAGCACAACAAATTCCCTCACACACGAGCCCTCAAAAGAGCTTACGCGGAGACAAACAGAAACCTCTTAGCCTTAATAGCCAGCTGCTCTTGATGGATTTAAAGAGATGTAGAGGTTCCCTCTACACCAGTACCAACCTAGCTTTTCAACCCCAATAATCATTCACTCAGACGTACCATTGACGAGAACAACAGCTCATTAGTCTAACGGAACCAATAACAACATAGGCACGCGATTCAAGCTACTAGAAACGCATTTTATGGAATAAGAATACAGAAGAATACCCTCAAGCGATCGGAGAGAATGGAAGGAGTGATGAGCTTGTACTTTGGCGCCTCGGTGAGAAGCTTGTCGTAAGTTCCCTGGTCGAACAGCACCATGTTGTTCACCTTCTCCTTCTGCTTCCCCTTGCTCCACTTCTGCTCCCCCCCACAAACAAGAAAAATGGTCACACCCATGACCCCACAAAACACAATCAATCTTTCGACCCGGAAACACACGGAGCACCGACATCCTCAGACACATCTCGTCTCTCATCAACAAACTTACAATTCTAAACCAGCAACAGCAGCTATAAGAAAGCAGAAAAAAACTACCCAGCTTTACCATGAATCCATGTACATTAAGAACAACACTGGTAAATCATTTCGCAGCTACCATTCTACCTCAGATTAATGAAAAACAAAACAGCGGAGAGCAACTAAAACGAACCAAATTGAACCAAAACTCAAGACCAAACGAACAAAAGGAAAGATTTTGCGAGCATCCATGTCGTCAAAATGCTAACCTTCTTCTTCTGCTTGCCACCGCCAGATTTGGCAGGCTTTGAAGACGGAGGGGGAGCTTTGTCCTTCTTAGGAGCCTGCGTGACAAACACAAGATCAATTCAGATTCCCAATGCAACCAAAAGGGAGATCAAACGTTGCAGATGTTGTAAACTTGAACCCAAAAACAAAATCATCGAGCGGATACGAGCAAAATGAGCGGAAAGAAGCGGTGAAGCGCGGTGGCGAATACCATGGAATCCGATCGGCGTCGGCGGCGGCAGCGGCGGCGACGAAGAAGAGATGGCGGAAGCGAGGGGGAGCTAGAGAAATCGTAAGACGGAGGCTTTTCTAGGGTTTCAGGTCACTCAAAGTCGAGAGCAGCTAGCTTTGTCTCCAAAACCGGCAGCGTTTCGAGCACTGACTGGGCTTCATGAAGATCAAGCCCATATCATTGGACCAGGCCGGTCACCATCTAAAGCCCAGACTTAAACAAAACAACAAAAAAATGAGTGCAGATTAGGAGTAATCGATTCAAGGTGGACACAGGAATCGCCCACAAAGCGCCGGTTCCACAAATTGGGAATCGGGAACCGCCCATTAGGTTCGTGGACCTATTCGGGAACCGGACCACCGGTCGGGTCCATGGAATTGGCCATGCCTTCCAAGACTCCCCGGTCCCCAATCGGGAAGAAGCTGCAGTGACGGTCCGGGCACGAGGGCACAGGGCGGAAGCCTGAGCAGCAACTGTATGTGTGGCTAAAAACGTCGTCAAAAACCTACCAAACAATAGTCACGAGGAATGAAATCCAGTGAGCTACTGAGCCTGATTAGAATTCGCCAAAAAAGCTGGGCTGCATCGAGCAATACGAGGCAGGGACGGCTTCGGAAACTTATAGGTGCGGCAGTGATGCGAGCAAGTCGCAGCTCCGGCTAAGAACGTGCAGGTACAGCTCTGGAGATTTGTCGAGTGCACTGGAATCGTCGGCGATGGCAAATTAGCGACCAGAGAGTGACGGGTCGGAGCGACCGTGGTTATTTCTCTCATTTGGCCTAGCAAGATTGGCGTAGATCATCAACACAAAATGCATGGTGCCTACTCTGCTTTTAACGTCCCATATACATAACCAACAAATGCAACAGTCCTTAGAAGATGAATTTCCACTTTTCATTTTCTTAGTGAAGTCACTCTCCGTGATGTAGAGGTCCAAGCGTTTTGTCCACCTAGCTTTGAATTTTATTTCATTAGAAATACCAACATAAAAAGAGAGACGAGTAAAAAAAATGAAACCTGGTTATTGAAGTATATTTATGAATATCGGAGAATTCTCTATTAGAAAATATTGTTAGAGATATTATTATTTATCATTTATAGCTAATTTCCTTGTTAAGTTAGAATATTTCCTTTTTTTATACATATTGTTCAGATAAAAAAACTCTCGGTTCTAATATATTGTCAATCTCGAGTCAATTGAGTAATGATGTATTTCACTGAAAACTCCGTGACAAAAGAAAATATTTCCATAAAAATCATTTTTGTAAGAAAAAATGGTTAATTTTCATTTGTTTTAGGAAAAGTGATTTCCTTATTACCAGAAGGGGAAGTTGTTATCCCCAATCTATAATTGTTGTCATCAATCCATAGAAAATATTTTCCGTTGATCGATTAGTCTTCCATCATCTAAACATTTGAAAGTTAAAAAATAAATTTGCAAAACCAGTTTTCCTTTCGTGGAAAACGAACGATTTGAAAACTATTTTCCTAATCGCTTGAGATAATTAACCAATAAAAAATATTTTCGTTATTGACTACAATTTGTGTCTAAATATTATATTTTCGTGGACGATGGAAATATTTTTCGTCTATTCATTTTTGTAAGAGATACAAATGATCACGTTGAGGAAATTATTTTCTAAATTATTCACTTTTTTTTTGCGAAATAAACATACCGGTAGATTTTATTGATTCTCTCTATCAAAGATTCTAGAATATTGATAAAGGAGTTGCCTTGGTTTACCGAACTTCTAGGCCAAGGAGTAAAAAGCGTGTGGCGTGCAATTATATATGCCTTTTTTGTTCCAAAAAAAAAAAACATTTATATATGCCTTTTGTTCTTGTCCTATATTCTTGTTTTTGGCCCGAGGAAAGTCATGCAAATACAAGCAATGAAGAATTAATGGAATCCGATTCGACAAGCACCGATTCGTACGTGTTCGGCTCGTGTGAATGTATAATAATTGCTTTAGTGGGTTTTATTTAATTCACCTTTCTTTTTTTTCTCCGGGAGTGAAATAATTTAATTTTGTCGGGGAAAAACTTGTCCCATCAATCATAAATTTATGATATCAATTAGATCTTAGATTTTCAACTTCGTATTAACCCTTTTGCGCAAAATTCCAATGCAATCCTTCCGCTCGGATCAGACGATTTCTGGCGAAAATTGAGCGGACGGATCATACTAGAATTTCGAAAGATAAATTTTGATGGGAAAATATGGAAGCGGAAGGAGTGTATGCATAAAGGTCTTGGATTGTGGAGGGTTTTGGATTTTCGGAAGAAAACGAAACGGCTCAATTGTCAGAAAGTTATTGTTCACGTACTGTTCATCAATGTTTGGCACTGTAGTAAGAAGAAAAACGAAGAAAAATTGTCGTTCGCAAAGTCAGAATTCTTGGGATCGAATTAGCATCCGTATTACTAGATTTAGGACCGATTGGGTAATTTGATCAGGCTCAAGAGTGCGGGAATATGGAGAACCTTCTTAGGTGGGAATAATTAGGTATGTCGTACTCGTATGCATAGTTCCCGAGTCACCGGATCTTCCGATCTTGGTCCCACCCAGAGCGAGGTGGATAATGACGATAACGAAAGGATTCGATCTTTCTTTCGCAATAGCATGATTAAATTAGGTGAATATATTTGTGAAATGGTGGGCTCTTTTAGGCATTAAATTACTCCACAGCCACAAAAAGAGAGACAATCTGTGGACGAAGTGAAAAGAGGAAAAATTGCTTTCGATTTGGATCGACGTCGGATTGATACCGTCTGTCTCGGACATTTCGTTGGTCGAAAAAGATGGAATTCTCTCCCAATTTCGGGTCGAAAATGCATCCTATGCGTAGCATTATCATCATCATCATCATCCTTTTCTCTTTCTCTCGCATGCACGCACTCGCGTGCACGAACCGTTTTCTAAAGTGAACCGTATTAAATTCGAGATATATATCGGATCTATGGAGAAAAGTGTCCAAAAAGTAATAAATTCATTATGCGGAGGCCAATTCAGTCTTAAATTTTTTAATCGTTCCAATTTAGCCCTCAACTTTTTGATGACTTGTCAATTTAATATTTCTCCCAACGTTGCTTTTCAAGGCATTTTTCAATTACAGTTTACCAAATAATATTTGCATTTCGCCATACCCATTTAGGCTAAAGGCCTTTGCATTTCTCCAAAAGCCGAACCAACCGCACCCTTAGTCCTGAACCTTTCAGTTGTGCCGATTTAGTCCCAAATCTTTTGATAATTTGTCAATTTTTTTTATCATAAATGATTTGCCAATTTAGTCTTAAACCTTTTTAGCGATTTGTCGGTATAGTCCTTCCGTTCAAATATCCAAATAATGGTTTAGGACCATTAAACAAATTAGGACTAACAGAAAGAAAGATTTATGACTAAATTAATGAATTGCTAAAATGTTTATGGCTAAATTGGCATAACTGAAAAGTTTCGGACTGAATTGGCTACCGCACAATAAATTCAGGACTTTTTGGATAATTATCACCGAATTTGTGACGATGAATATCGTGCATCTATTTTTACACAAACTGTGGGGGAAAGTACGAATTTATTCGAAATATAATTTAATGGCATGGCATGGATGGAGGAGAAAAGTTGAAAGATCCCACGTACTTAGCAGACCTACTTTGAGAGACGGGATGGGCATGCTTCTTCGATACGGCGTCTTCCCAAATGGGCCAGGCATCTTCAATAATTCGCTCGTGATTATCTTTTAATAAATTCGCCGCGCATGATAAGATAGGTTTTCGAGACAAAGTATTCTCCCCCCTCTTTTATATCATCCTCCTGATTTGGCAAAAGCAACTTCGCTCCATTTCCAAGTGTTTTTCTGATAATTATTCCGACATTTTGATGAAAATTAGCCGCGTGTTTCGAGCGTGCGAACGTCATGGATTAAACAAGAATTCTTGATCAGTCGAGCTGAGCTTACAAGTTTTGGTCTGATTTATTACCTAAGGGTCGGGATGCTCTCTTCAAGGTCCGCTCCATTCCTTCCTTGTTTAATCGGACGACCGAGTTCGTGATAAAGTCCCGTTTTGATATACCCACGAAGAGAGCGACAAGTCATTACCGTGATGCCCCTCATCTTGTTTCTTGCATCCGGGGAGCTTGTCAACCATGATCCGAATTATTATCTCCATGAAGATATCGTTTTTCTTTGTCAATCAATTGTTTTACCCTCCATTTCACCTTTAATGACGTGACTAAAACAATAGCATAGACAACGATATTAAAAGTGGCCAAAAGCCAATTTTGATGAGAGCGGACGCATTGACTCTAGAGAAATCTCGAAGTAACAATGCAAAACACATTATCTTACTCTAGGGTAGCTCGGTAATTAGGAGCCTGCCTTGGATCTTTGGTGTTGTTATTGAAGGTATCTCACCAAAGCAAAGAAAACATAAGTTTTTGACTGGGGCCGTCCCGCCTGTCAAGGTGTATACATTTGGTAGGCTGACATAATTGCGTTCCTTATTTTAACGTGCCGGTGCCCGCACGCCCAGCCCCCTCAATTGGAGAGAAAGTTTTTCTTCACTCTCTTCAGGGAATACCTCCGTATTTTAACGTCCCGGACGAAACCTTTTAGGGACATGCTCAGATCCAAAAATCTTGAAGTAATAATTCAAAAAAAAACATCGTTTCGGCATAAATCAAAAAAAAAGAAAAGAAGAAGGCAAAAACATGGAAAAAAAGGAAGAAGACGGGTCTTAGATAATTATTTGTCTGGTGGGCCTCAGGACACATGGTAATAACCGAAAGCCCGTTCCTTCGTGGTAGTGAACTTTGAAAAGCAAAAGGCAGTTAGAATTCAAAAGCGGGGGACACGTGGCACTTTCTTAGAGAGTAAGAAATGGGAATGGGGGGAATCCAAGTGATGGTGATTGATGGCTTGTACGTTTGCCACCTGGTGTGGAGCCTCAAAATCGGTTTTTGTTCACTGTCAAAATCAACGATCCCCACCTAGTGTGGAGCCTCTTTTTCCTGATTATTAGTACATCCCCGTGGAGAAGGAAAATATCAGCCATGTTGTATCATGATTTTTCCCAAATTGGCCAATTAGAATCAAGTTTTATCGGGAGGAGGATACACCTCAGCATTCGGTGTCGGATACTTATCGAACAATTTTCCGACGCTAACCCATCTCGATTCTCGATCACGATCCGAAGACCCTTTGATTTTCTTAGCGAGATCAAGATTGAGTCTCTGATAAAACCCGTCGTCAGCATTTGCGAATGGGTCGACTAGCAGGTCCTTAAAGGCATAACGGTCCTGTGCATTGGTACGGTTTCTCGGGCCGAGAAATCCCGCTGTTATGGATGTTATTGCGGGCTCGTTTACATCATCAGGACTTGATCGTGAGCTCTGCTGAAGTGATGATGGTAGGAATCTGTTTCCTAGGAGAAGATGAGACAGAGCTTGATTGATTTGATTCCAAGCTAGTCTGAAAGGATTAGAATAAGGATAATGGAACAATGTTAACTTAGATTGTCAACAAGCCTTAATATTCTCCTCCACCATCTTGTTATTATCTAGCTGAAATGAAATCTACATGAAAAATAATATATCCTTAAGCACTGGAAATCCTCTGGAAGTGGTGAGGGAAGAGAATACTGAGGCCGGATAAAGCATATTATGGTGCTGATCCCACAACGAGCAATTTTCCCATAAAGCAAAAGCACAAAAAAAAAAACAAAAAAAACAATTAAAAAGAAAGAAATCGTTAATTTCTAGAGTCTATATATAACTCATGCTTCAAGTACATCAATTCGCTCAACAAAACACATTGTGTAGAAGGACAGTCTACTCTCTAAGCAAACAATTCATACCTTCTCAAACTCTGTTGTGGGCTCAATCCTCCTCCTTCAATAAGCTTTCCTCTGTGACTGTGATTGTATTCTTCAGCTTCCATTTGCACCATTTTTCTTCCATGAATTGTTACAGTAGCATCTTCTCTATGAACCCTTTGATCATGCTCCTCTCTGTGTCCTCTCCGACCAGGGAAAGGGTATTTGCCCAAGCTTTCCTTGTATATCCCTTCTCTTGCGAGTGAGAGCTTCTAGTTTTCAACACTAGTTGTTCCCAAATCACTGTTTCTGATGGATTCGCTTCACTTCAAGAACATCAAAGTTGAGAAGAGGGCTTACAGAAGTACTGGGAAGTACTGTCGACTGAGAAAGATCGCGAGTTTGTTCAGGATCGTCGAGATATGTGTTCTGTTGGTGTTGCTCTCGAGGTTTTCCACTCAACTGCCGATAGCCGTCAAGAACTCGGGTGAGTATTTCCGAGACTTGAAGGTAGTTCTGGTGAGTCCTCGGTTCGTGTTCATCCTTGGGAACGCGATAATCATCACTCTGTTCGCGAAGTCCGGACAGTTCTCTGCTCGGGATTCTACCATAAAGAGCGATCTTTATGATGAATTCTTAGAGAAGAGTGAAAAGAGTCGGAACAACCACCAAACCGAAACCCAATTCCAGGACAAGCAAATTCTACGTGAGGAAGCTAGTGACGATAAGCATGTTGTTCATAGGGATGAGGTGGTGAAGACTTATAGGAGGAGCCAATCAGAGAACTTGCATCACGAGAACCGTGTGAAATTGCACCGAGTTCTTAGGCGTTCCGCGACAGAGAAATGCGGAGAGAGTGCTCTGTGTGCCGAGACCGGGAAATCGGAGAAAAGTTCTTTCCCTGCGGATTCTTTGAGCAATGAGGAGTTCCGTCGCACGGTGGAGGCTTTCATTGCCCGCCAACAGAGGTCTCTGAGGGAAGAGGAGTAGTCTGTGTTGTAAACTGCTTATAAGATCATAAGGTTGTAGTACATAGTTCTGTGTTACTCTTTCCATGGTTTAGGAACTGTGTATATTTCCGAATCATGTGTGTCTTTTCTTCCTCTTTTTTTCTATTTGTTTTAGTTGCCATATGCTTCTGCCCAAGTTTTCTTTCATAGGGTAGGACATGTCGAGCAACTGGTTTCCATCTAACTAATCTGCTACTGTTACAAAGAATGTGCACAAGCGGAGTTCTTACTGAGTTCTTAGAATGTGAACAACTTTTTAAAGTACGCTTTTGGGCCGACTGTGATCCAGTGATGCAACTTTCGGAGCATCAATTTCATTGACATTGGATACAAAGATAAGATATTCGAGTTCGCAAAGATAGCTAGATTTTGCCTTTTCACACAAATCGATGATGTGGAGGAACTTCGATTAATAGAAGTGAACACTCTTTCTGAGAGAATAATATGGACTAATAGGCAGGAATATATCCCTGGAATGTAATTCTGAGGAATAGTATGCTTTGATGGCGCATGCTTATAAAATCATATGTGTTTCAAGCGCATGATCAAAAGGTTAAACAAAGCCAAGAAAGCTGTTTGCTATTTTGAAATTTAAGTATGACCGCTCACAGATCCATCTAGAAAGCTAAAGCTGATGGAGCAATAAAACACGATCTTCATATTGTACTTGGTCATCGGTGGATTGTCACTCAATCAAGAAAATTATTAGCTTTCTTTCTAGTGCTGCACTTGCTAGTAACATAATCACAACGGCAAAAGTACACCACAAGTGCCATAACTTGTGTACGGCGATCACTTTGGTGCCATAACTTTTTTTTGGATCACTTTGGTGCTAAGTCGGAGGAAAAGAGATCACTTTGGTGCCAAGTCGGAGGAAAAGAGATAACTTTGGTGCCAATTTGGCCGGAAATCCGACGTGGCATTTTTTATTCATTTTTTACGCCGACGTGGCTCGCCGGAGGCTGAGTCAGCGTGTACAGTCAGCATTTTTAATTTTAAATAATTTTTTTAGCGTGTACAGTCAGCATTTTTAATTTTAAATATTTTTTTCCTTTTTTTTTTCTTTCCTATTTCTTTTCTTTTCATTTTTTTCTTTTCTCCCCTCGCCGGCCGGTTGCCGGTGGCCGGCCGGCCACCGGCGAAGCCCGGGAAGGGCTGGGCGAGGGCGGCCTTGCCCATGGCCGGCGAGGGGCGGCCGACCCTCACCGGCGACAGGCGAGGTCGGCCCTAGCCGGCCCAGCGAGGGTCGCCCTCGCCGGCGCGATCCGGCGAGGGCGACCCGCCGGCGGCGGGCGTAGGGTCGCCCACGCCGACCAGCGAGGGCAACCTCGCCCGCCCGGCGAGGGCTTCCCTCGCCCGACGCCGGCGAGGGTCGCCTCGCGGCGTCGGGTGAGGGAAGCCTCGCTCGGGCGGGCGAGGGTCGCCCTTGCCTCGAGTCGGCGTGGGCGACCCTCGCCGGTGTCGAGCGAGGGAAGCCCTCGCCCGGGCGGGCGAGGGTCGCCCTCGCCCGAGTCGGCGTGGGCGACCCTCGCCCGACGCCGGCGAGGGCGACCCTCGCCGGCGTCGGGCTAAGGAAGCCCTCGCCTGGGCGGGCGAGGGTCGCCCTCGCCTGAGTCGGGCGTGGGCGACCCTTGCCCGACGCCGGCGAGGGGCGGCCTCGCCTGGGCCGGCCTTGCCTTTCATCGGCGAGGGTCGGCCGCCTCTCGCCGGCCATAGGCAAGGCCGCCCTCGCCCAGCCCTTCCCGGGCTTCGCCGGTGGCCGGCCGGCCACCGGTAACCGGCCGGCGAGGGGAGAAAAGAAAAGAAAAAAAAAGAAAAAAAAATATTAAAAATTAAAAATGCTGACTGTACACGCTAAAAAAATTTATTTAAAATAAAAAATGCTGACTGTACACGCTGACTCAGCCTCCGGCGAGCCACGTCGGCGTAAAAAATGAATAAAAAATGCCACGTCGGATTTCCGGCTAAATTGGCACCAAAGTGATCTCTTTTCCTCCGACTTGGCACCAAAGTGATCCGAAAAAAAGTTATGGCACCAAAGTGATCGCCGTACACAAGTTATGGCACTTGTGGTGTACTTTTGCCTAATCACAACACTCTCCCAGTACAAACATTTTATATTTCACGGCCTTTTTTCCATCAGATTGCTGACTTTTTTGCCGCATCTGAGCACTGAAATTTAGGATGAGTGACCAAAAGAATCAGTGGAATGCCCATTTTTATATGAAGCACACCAGACTTTACAGACCAACTTGGAGATCTTGACTAGGTTCACTTTTCAGTTCGGCATATGATTTGTTCTTTCCGATATGTGCAACTAGAGGTCCAGTGTTTGCTTTCTCAAGTGGATTTGCTTTCAATAATGACCAGCTAAACTTGTCGGGCCATGAGAAGTCCGTCGACGCGGATCCGATTGGGACTCTGGAAGGGTGGCTCTGCCCTTTGGACTTGAGTCACGAGCAAAAGAATAATAGCAGACAAAATATTCGCATACTTGTATGGTGCAGTTCTTGAAGGTCTTGTAGGTAGGCACGCAATTTATAGCAAAGGCAAGGGTGGAATATGTCAGACAAAGCAAATTCGTTCTAAACTATGCTTGGGTTTATGTAATTCTTACCCACAACGTTTGGTCCTTTTACTTTCCTGATAATTCGCGTTGGCCATCATTCCACATCACGGACTTAGTGTTGCCAGAGTTTTGGGGGCAAAAGCTATTATCAAAGCTGAAGCAGAAGAGAGCAAGAGAAGGGTTTCCATATCTGCTGTAAGTAGAATTTTAAATGATTAAGAGCTCTATTGGATATAATGCTGTGGGAACAGGCACTTCACCTCCAAATTTGGCTGCGAGGGCTGTAATCTCAACCAGGCACAGGATCAAAGAATCAGTCCAAATCAACCATTTCTAGATACAGGTTTAGGATGTTTGCTTGATATGTCTGGACGAAAAACGTCAACTCCAAGTTGAAGTCGTGTTATGAGGTATGGACACCAACCTAAAATTTGACAATGTAACTCTCTTTCTGTTTGAATTCATCAATAAAAATCACTAAAAGTTTCCAAACTTGCAAACCCGTCACTTGTCAGGCTGCCTTCAAACTGAAATAACTAAGTGCACAAACCTCTTGCTGCAAAACACTGCCAAATGCGCCTCTGATGCTTTGTTAATGGCAATATGAAATAATTTCTATGGCCCGATTGACCGAGACAGGACAAATACCTTAGGGAGAATCGAACTCGAACTTGACCCCTAAGACAAGCAAGGACACTACGTTTTGGCCAAATCTTATTTCTTGTGCACGCAGCTAGCTTGTTAGTTTGGTCCGGAGAACCATAAATTTCCACAATCTTCCGCGAAAATCAGTACCCGATTCTAAACTTTCAAATATCTTCCTTCAGCCGAAACAACGTTTTCTGATGCCAACATGCCCTCTGCCAAAACTATTGTATCCACCGCAGCTTCCGTTGCTGCTTCAACAAATGTCATTGGGCCCTTACTTCATGATCTCGTACCATATGAACTGCAATATTACTTATTTAGGAGCATCCAGGGCTTCTTCACGTCAGTTTCGTCTGAGGTGACTGTAGTCATTGAAGAATTCAATGGCCTAGCCGGCAACCAAATATACAGGGCCGCGGAACTTTACTTGGGCAACAAAATATCTCCGACAACTCGGTCTTATAGAGTCTGTTAGCCGGTCAAAGGGACAAAGATGTCTATTTTCATGGCAAAGAATCAAGAAGTAACAGATGTCTTCCAAGGAGTGAACTTCAAATGGACACAGATAACCAGAGATGTTGAATTGAAGCAGCTGACAGACGAAGGTCAGCAATCCCAGGGGTCGGAAGTGAGGTATTATCAGCTGAAGTTTCACAAGAAGCACAAGGATTTGGTCTTCAATTCTTACTTCCCTTTCATACTAAACGAGGGGTATAATGTGCAAGAAGCAAAAAAAACCTTGAAACTGTATACTTTGCAAAGTGACTACTTTCTAGGATACACTGGTAGGGAAGATTCATGGCATTCCGTAAACCTTCACCATCCATCTACGTTCGACACACTGGCGATCGATTCAGACCTCAAGAAGACAATAATGGAGGACCTCAATAGGTTCGTGAAGAGGAAGGACTACTATGGGAGAGTAGGGAAGGCATGGAAAAGGGGATATTTACTGTTTGGTCCGCCAGGCACGGGGAAATCGAGCTTGGTGGCCGCGATGGCCAATTATCTGAATTTCAGCATCTATGACCTGGAATATACAAATATCTCTCATAACTCTCAGCTGCGTAAAGTGCTGTTGGCAACTGAAAACAATTCCATACTTGTCGTTGAGGACATAGATTGCAGCCTCGGGTTGAAAGATGAACAAGCAGACAACAACCCTTCAGATCCATTCGGTAAACGTCCCTCACCTCGACAAAGCCAGGTAAATGCAAACTATAGGTTACTCTTTCGGTACATATTCCATAAGCTTCTTGAAAATGCATTGAATGGTTGTTGAAAGGGCCTTATCACTCTGCCTCTTCCTGGACATTTCCTCATCTAATGAGGTTTCTTCTTGCTCACAGGTGACATTGTCAGGATTGCTCAACTTCATAGATGGGTTATGGTCAAGCTGCGGAGATGCAAGAATCATAGTTTTCACGACCAATCACAAAGAAAAGCTCAACCCTGCTTTGCTGCGCCCCGGACGAATGGACATGCACATTCACATGTCATACTGCACTCCTTGTGGTTTCAAAACACTGGCAGCTAATTATCTCAGCACGACTGACCACCCACTTTTTCCTGAAATCGAAGAGCTAATGAAGTCTGCGCTGGTCACCCCGGCCGAAGTCGGGGAGCAACTGCTGAAGAATGATGATCCTGACAATGCCTTACAAGGACTGCTAGGATTTCTCCACACGAAGAGAAGGGAAAATTCCCAAATTCAAGAGAATGGCCAGGACCATAAAAGAGACAGCGAAGAGAAGTTAGAGAACTAGTACAGACTAAATGAAAGTTGTGTGTGAGACCATGTCAAATCAATTGTTTAGATAAAAAAGGTATGTTTGCAGCTTTTTCTTCGTCAACTTTTGAAGCGTCTTAAGTTCGAACCCTCAGTTGTTTCGAGAGTAGCCTACCGTTCCAATGCGGATTCGGACTCTTAAAAATCATCGGCATACTCATAGAAGAAGGCATTGCTCGTCTTTTTGCATAGACTGCTGAGTTTTCATCATGTACAAAATGCATGTCACATGACTACATCATGTTTGAGTCTGGACAGCAGATAGCAAAAAATAAAAACGCATCACTGTGCTTTTTGGTAAATTCATCCTGCACAAACTCTTCCAATTTCCCAGAAGTCACGCACTTAGTTTTTAATTGCACTTTCCTTTTAACAAGCATTTGTTCTAGTCGCAACTTCCTTCACATTCAAGAACGTAGTTTAAGATAAATTCGAGTTGACTTTGCACCAAAAGTTCAGAACTTTATCAGATTTAGAAGGCTTCTTTGGTAATACATATCGGATCAGTCATCAAGAATGAGCCTGCACAGCCATTTAGGAGGATTAAGTCTGCGAGAAAATATTCAGAGGGCTTTAGACACTGCATAATTAGCCGATGCGATGTATGACAAGAAGTCAAAGTATGCAACTTGCGGAAAGAAATGGTTCTGTGATCACCATACATGACATTCTTGATCTCTTTTAGTTATATACAGAATGAAAAGTAAGCAATACGGCATACGGATTGATATGTCAAAATAAATATTTATTGCTTTCATGATTTTAAAGTAAATTTACCATAAATAAGTAATTACATATTAAAACATTGCTATTTTGATCGGAACTTAAAAAAATATCGCCACACACGATTGAATTTTGTTATTACTTCGTGTATCTAATGATTTGTCACAATGATTTTATATTTAATTATGTGAAGACGACATCTGTTGTATTTATAGTGGGTTAATGGATCAACGAATGTGAGCAAAACAAGATACGTCTCTTCCGTTCACGTATCTCTTAAGTTCATGTATTTCTTGGATTCGTGTATCTACTTAATTCACGTATCTATTTAATTCATATATCTCTTGGATTCTTATATTTATTTAATTTTTAGTTCATGTATCATTTCTGTACATGAATTCTAAAACTCTATAAATAGAGTTGAAATTCTTCATTCCAAGCAAGGTTCAAAAGCACCTACATCTCCTCTCTTCAATTTTCTCTAAGTGTGCTAGTTTCAAGAAGTATTCGACAGAGTCCTATTTGCATAGTACTAATTCAAACAGGTTCGAGGTGTTGTATCTTGAGAGGTATAGTTCATGAAGCTACTTAGCACCATTGGTAGGAACTAATCGCCTTAAGGAGATTCGGTTAACCATATCTCACCTCTTATTTATTTTGTTATCGTTTTCTTGGACTTATTATTTTTTTTCTGATTACAACAAATAGTGTTACGTATCTTCTTCCCCCAATACGTAAATTCTTCTTCTCCTTCTTCATCTAATTTTTCCAACAACATCGACATGATATAATTATAATTTGGGTATATATATGATAATTGACAAAGCAAATTCAATCTAAACTATGCTTGAGTTTCTGGAAGTCTTACCGCTGACGTTGGTCCTTTTTCTTTCCTGATAATTTGCGTTCGCCATCATTCTACATCACGGACTTAGTGTTGCCAGATTTTTTTGGGGGCTTAACTTATTATCAAAGCCGAAGCAGGAGAGGAGCAAGTGAAGAATCTCATCTCTGTTGTACGTAGAACGTTGGATGATTAAGAGCTTTATTAGATACATTGCTGTGGGAACAGGCATTTCGCCTCCGAATTCAGCTGCGAGGGCTAAAATCTCAACTAGGCGCAGGATCAAAGAATCAGTCCAAATCAACCATATGATGTCCTGTAAGAATTTCCCTCCTTAAGTTGTATGTGCCGGCCGAATGTCTGTATGCAGGTCTAGAAAGTTTGCTTGATATGTCTGGACAAAAAACGTCAACTTCAAAGTTGAAGCCGCGTTGAGGTATGAACACCAATCTAAAATTTGACAATGCATCTCTCACTCTCTCTCCATTTGAATCGATCATATCACTGAAAGTATCCAAACTTGCAAACCTGTCACTTGTCGGGCTCCCTTAAAACTGAAATAACTAACTGCACAAACCCCTCGAATGACAGCCTCGCATGTGTCGCTGCTTGCTTCTGATCTTGTTCGCTGGGGATGCAAACACTGCCAAATGCGCTTAGCCTCTGATGCTCTGTTAACGGCAATTTGGCCTGATTGACCGAGTGAGGACAAATTCCTTAGGGAGAATCGAACTCGAACTTGACCCTTAAGACAAGCAAGGACACAACTCTCAGCCGAATCTTATTTCTTGTGCAAGGAGCTAGCTTGTTATTATGGTGCGGAGAACCATAAATATCCACAATCTTCGGCGAGAAAGCAATGCCCGACTCTAAACTTTCATATATCTTCTGTCAGCCAAAACAATGTTTTCTGATGCTAACATGCCCTCTGTGAAAACTATTGTCTCAACCGCAGCTTCCGTTGCTGCTTCAACAATGGTTGTCCGGTCCTTACTTCGCGATCTCGTACCATATGAGCTGCGATATTACTTATTTAGGAGCATCCAGGGCTTCTTCAAGTCCCTTTCAGCTGAAGTGACCGTAGTCATTGAAGAATACGATGGCCTAGCCAGCAACCAAATATACAAGGCCGTCGATCTTTACTTAGGCAACAAAACTTCTCCGACAACTCGGTCTTATAGAGTCTGTTTGCCTGTAAAAGGGACAAAGATGTCTATTTCCATGGCAAAGAATCAAGAAGTAACAGATGTCTTCCAAGGGGTGAACTTCAAATGGAGACAGATTACAAGAGAGGTTGAACTGAAGCAGATGACACATGAAGGCCGGCAATCCCAGGCGTCAGAAGTGCAGTATTATCAGCTGAAGTTTCACAAGAAACATAAGGATTTGGTTTTCAATTCTTATTTCCCTTTCATACTAAACGAGGGGTATAACGTGCAAGAAGCACAAAAAACCTTGAAACTGTATACTATGCAAAGTGACAACTTTCGAGGATTCCCCTCTGGTAGGGAACATTCATGGCATTCTGTGAACCTTCATCATCCATCTACGTTTGACACATTGGCGATGGATTTAGGCCTCAAGAAGACTATAATGGAGGACCTCGATAGGTTCGTGAAGAGGAAGGACTATTATGGGAGAGTAGGGAAGGCATGGAAAAGGGGGTATTTACTTTACGGTCCGCCGGGCACAGGGAAATCAAGCTTGGTGGCCGCGATGGCCAATTATCTGAATTTCAGTATCTATGACCTGGAACTTACAAATATCTCTCATAACTCTCAGCTGCGTAAAGTGTTGTTGGCAACTGAAAACAAATCCATACTTGTCGTTGAGGACATAGATTGCAGCCTCGAGTTGAAAGATCAACAAGCGGACAACGACACATCAGCTCCAATTGGTAAACGTCCCTCACTTCGACAAAGCCGGGTAAATGCAAACAATAGGTTACTCTTTCGGTACATATTCCATAAGCTTCTTGAAAATGCGTTGAGTGGTTGTTGAAAGGGCACTTAATGATCTGCCTCTTCCTGGACATTTCCTCATCTAATGAGGTTTCTTCTTGCTCACAGGTGACATTGTCAGGATTTCTCAACTTCATAGATGGGTTATGGTCAAGCTGCGGCGATGCAAGAATCATAGTGTTCACGACCAATCACAAAGAAAAGCTAGACCCTGCTTTGTTGCGCCCGGGACGAATGGACATGCACATTCACATGTCATACTGCACGCCTTGTGGTTTCAAAACACTGGTGGCTAATTATCTTAGCACGACTGACCACCCACTATTTCCTGAAATTGAAGAGCTAATGAAGTCTGCGCTGATCACCCCGGCCGAAGTCGGGGAGCAACTGCTGAAGAATGATGATCCTGACATTGCCCTACAGGGTCTGCTAGGATTTCTCCATACGAAGAGAAGGGAGAGTCCCCAAATGCAAGTGAATGACCAGGACCATAAAAGAGACAGCAAAGAGAAGTTAGAGAACTAGTACAGACTAAATGAAAGTTTGTGTGAGACCATGTCAAATCGATTGTTTAGAAAAAAGGTATGTTTGCAGCTTTTTCTTCGTCAATTTTTGAAGCCGTCATAAGTTTGATATTTGCAAGGCGAATCCTCAGTTGTTCGAGAATAGCCTACTGTTCCAATGCGGATTCGGACTCTTGAAAATCATCAACATACTCATAGAAGAAGGCATTGCTCGTCTTTTTGTATAGACTGCAGAGTGTTTGTCATGTACAGAATGCATGTCACATGACTACATCATCCAGCTCGTCTATGTTTGAGTCTGGACAGCAAATAGCGAAAAAAAAAAAAAGAAACGCATCACTGTGCTATTTGGTACATTTCATCCTGCGCAAACTCTTTCAATTTCCCAGAAGTCGCGCGCTTAGTTTTTAATTGCACTTTTCTTTTAACAAGCAATTGTTCTAGTCGCAACTTTCTTCACATTCAAGAAAGCAGTTTAAGATGAATTCGAGTTGACTTTACACCAAAAGTTCAGGACTTCATCAGATTTAGAAGGCTTCTTGGGTAATACATATCGGATCAGTCATCAAGAATGAGCGTGCACAGCCATTTAGTAGGGTTAAGTCTGCGAGAAAATATTCAGAGGGCTTTATACACTGCATAATCAGCCGATGTGATGTATGACAACAAGTTAAAGTATGCAACTTGCGGAAAGAATTGGTTCTGTGATTACCATACACGACATTCTCGATCTGTGTCAGTTTTTTACAGAATGAAAATTAAGCAATACACCATACGGACCGGTATAAGTCGTCATTTTTCGTATAATTACATGACAAACACTTGCATTGATATGTCAAAATAAAAATTTATTGCTATCATGAATTGACTATAAATGTACCATAAATGAGAAAAATTTGCATATTAAAATATAGCTATTTTTATCGGAACTTAAAAAGAATATCGCGATACACAATCGAATTTTTATTATTTCGTGTATCTAATGATTTATTATAAGAATTTTATAGTTAATTTCGTGTATCTACCAGTATCAGTTGAATGATCCACGTACGGATTCTTAGTGGAGCACCATAACTCAGAGTTGGGCACCCTATTCAAGTTCCCCAAAAGAGAAAGACAAATGAATCTTTCGACTGCGAGCATCAAGAAGTGACAACAAGTCAACTGCATCAGAAATTTTCTCCAATCGAGTTGGACAAAATCGCTGACTTGTATGATGGGATCAAGCCAACTAAGAGCGCGATTGGATCAGCCAAGTCTAATTTCACCATGACGGTTTTCATGGGATGTTGTTCCTCTTTATTTGGCTAATATTTCTTGAAAGAGAATGAAAAAATGGTAGTTTTCGACAACTGCTGAAGGTCAAGGAAGAGACACGGTTAAGGTGTTTTTTTTTTTGCGCCTTTTTCATGTCGTGGAAAACAAAAACGTCGGTTTTGTTAGTTGGTGAATTTGCGTGGGTAGAGAGAGCAGCAAACAAACCTTTGAACGGAGTGGCTTGCATTTCGCTCTCTCTCTCTTTCTCTCTCTGTACAGGTTGTCCTGTGACACATCGGCCGTCCTCAAAATTTCAGAGATATATTCGGGATCAAAGATAAACTTCTCTTTCAGGCTCCCTAAATTCTTGTCCAGACAGGTATCTCTCTCTCTCTCTCCAAAAAAAGCATTCCTTTTGTGGTTTGTGTCTTTCGATCTATGTGCGTCTTCTTCTTGTTGGAGATAATTCCCGGATATTTCATCATTTTTAGCAACCCATTTGGGATTTTTTTAGCTGGTGCGATTGCCTAGAACTCCCACTTGATCCTTTCATGGCAAAAGTTCATCTCTTGTACAATCTTGTGCATGTGAGAAGGTGTTTGAGTAATCCGCGTTAGTTACGTGCTGGTTTGTCTAGAGTTGGTGTTTCCACATTGCAAGGTAAAATTTTGGATTCTTCAGCTGTTTGATACGGCAATGTAGGCAATATGGCATGTAAATGGTGTTAAACATGACCCCCTTTTGGCACAAATGATTGATTCTTGTGTGCCTTGTGCTCTCATTGATAGATTAATCATGAGTGACAAAATGTTGGGACCTCTTGATCGCAATGCTAAACCAGGTACCAGCTTTCCTCTCCTCCTCCAATGTTTTCCTGTAAATCTTTGATCTGACAAACATCTAAAATGGAGGCTTAAATGTCTCAGTTGTACTGCAAGTTTGAATTCACTACGTATGTTATGGACATATAACTTCGCAAGCAAAATTTCTGGAAAAGTATTGAACGAAGGAGTCAATATATTCAAGAACTGAGGTTTTACATCATTTATTGAATTCTGGGAACTCGTTGCAATAGCTATCAGAAGCTACATAATTGAGAGGAGGGTTTTCATTTCTGGTTTCAATCTGTGCGAATAAATTGTGAGGCTACCCATTGTCGTTTTCTAGATCATTGAAGATGAACAAAGAGAGATAATGTGGTTATAGCATGTGACAATTCATCTAGTGAATGAGATTATAGAAAGTGAATGGAAGGTTGGAACAACTGCATGCTTTCTGTATTCTACGAAATGTCGAGAATTTCCCACCATATTTATCCAGTATGGTATTTCCATAGAAGCACCAGAGACAACAGTTCTGATCTCAAAGTTGTTAAAATTGCGGATTCTTCTCTTCACTTGATTTATTCAAAGATATACTTTCGTTGTAACAGCCGTATTTGCTTCCAAGTTGTTTTATGTGCGTTTCTGTCTACACATTGGCAACATGTCATGAGGATAGAGGCAATGTTTTCCATTAGACTGTGATTGCTCCATAGCATATGGTAAAGATCAAAGAGAACTTCACCATTTTGCTCTTCCTGCAACTTTAATAGTTCTGTCATTTCATTGTACAGTTCTCGAAAAGCCCGACATGGAGAATTCTGAGGATGAGAGGAAGACCAGGCTCGGATCTCTTAAGAAGAAGGCAATTAATGCTTCAACCAAATTTAGGCATTCTTGGACCAAGCGAGGTCGAAGAAGCAGTAAAGTCATGTCTGTCTCATTTGACGATGATATTGACTCGGAAGAACTCCAGGCAGTTGATGCATTTCGCCAAGCTCTCATTCTTGAAGAATTGTTACCATCTAGACATGATGACCCTCATATGATGCTCAGGTCTCTTCCTTGCTCTCGCACTGAATATTCGATGTGTCTAGTGCGTCTGCGTTGGATATGAACACAATGGTGTTCCAATATGGAAGTTAATATAGAGGCAACAATCAAGCACTGACAGTTGACTTTGCCAATGTGTAATTTTGTCATTGACAGCAAATCATTCTCTCATCTAAGACTTTTCACAATGACCCACACCGTATCATTGAAGAAAGTGCTTTGTTTTTCCATGTCTATGTCACGTACTTATTTTAGATTTCAGATACCTCTATAGATGCTCCAATTTCTCTAGTATTTGAACTCTTAGCGTGTATCTTCCCGTGTAATGAGTAATCCAACGCCTTATGGAGACGGTGCAACACCCCTCGACATGATCATCATTGCATACTAATATAGTCATGTAGATGTATCCTGGATGGAGTTCTTCCTTTTAATTCCTTTTCTGGGCCCATCCTGGATGGAGTTTAGACAGTGTAATATCAACTATTGCTGTTTGACACAGATTTTTGAGGGCCAGAAAGTTCGATATAGAGAAGACAAAGCAAATGTGGGCTGACATGTTACAATGGAGGAAGGAGTTTGGTGCTGACACAATCATGGAGGTACCAATGGAAAAATCAATAACCTCTGTGTCAAATGCTTCTGCTTTGGTTCATACTTTTGGATATAAGATCATTATACCCGGTTCTTCGACTTCCTTTAATCGGTTTCTTTGCTCAGGACTTCGATTTCAAGGAAATTGATGATGTCCTAGAGTATTATCCACAAGGACACCATGGTGTGGACAAGGAAGGAAGACCTGTCTACATTGAGAGGCTGGGTAAAGTTGACCCCAATAAACTGATGCAAGTGACAACAATGGATCGCTATGTTAAGTACCATGTGCGGGAGTTCGAGAGGACTTTTGCTGTTAAGTTCCCAGCTTGTTCTATCGCAGCCAAAAAGCATATAGATCAGAGCACAACCATATTGGATGTCCAAGGGGTGGTGCGTAAGACGTTTCCTAAATTTCTCAGTAGGACACCTTACAGTATTGGTTAATTACAGAAAATTATCTCTTAGTGTTGTAAATGGTTGTTGTGAGCACCAACTCTGGATTTCTAAACCTTGCCAAAAGAAACATGTCGAGCAATTATGGAGATCATTGAAGTAGAGCACCATCTTGAGGAGTTGGTAACTCACGCAGAATAGACTTTTAACACCGTCTTTAGGAATTAGGAGTACCATGATTGGTTAAACTGTTGTACAGGGGATTTTGATGAGAACCTAAATGTTAGCTTCATTGCATATGCAGGGGCTCAAAAATTTCAATAAAGCTGCAAGGGATCTTGTCACGTGTCTTCAAAAAATAGATGGGGATAACTATCCTGAGGTACTTTGCAAACTCAAACTTCAACCCCCTCAAGCTCTCTAATTCCCTTCTTGGCTGGATTTGCTTATTATTATGATGCTCATGGTGGCCAACGAATTTTAGACTCTAAACCGCATGTTCATCATTAATGCGGGCTCCGGATTCAGGCTTTTGTGGAACACGGTTAAATCCTTCCTTGACCCAAAGACTACTGCAAAAATCCATGTAAGGACCTTTCACAGATATGCTGCCCAAGAGTGCTCCGTTTCTGCTTTAGCTGACCTTAGCATGTTGGTGCCTTTTCTCTACTAGGTTCTGGGGAACAAATACCAGACCAAGTTGCTTGAAATAATCGACGCAAGGTAGGTCCGACATTCTTTAGTCTATTCTATATGCTTTCAATATTTCCTCTCATTGTCTTGTGTATCTCTGTCATACAACCAATGAACAGCTGCGATTTGCCAAATACCGTGCTTTCCAATTATTTCAACTTGCCAAAAAAAAATCCTTGACTTATAA